GAAACAAACACTGACAGACTGGACTTTAACAGACTGTCTCAGCCTATTCTTTTCTGTCTGATGGAGACTTCATACAGACTTCAACACGTTCCACATATTTTATACATTATTGGTGACGTATGGTTTTAGTCGAAAAGTTTGAAATATTAAGCTTTTTCTGCATTTTTTTAGCTCAAAGCAGCTACCATTCAGCTAATAACACATTCAGCTTTTTCTACATTTTTTTTTTTGAAGATATTTTTAATTTAATCTAAATTACATTTGTGATTATTTTAGTTAACAAACTTTGCCATCTAATTTAAATTGAAACATATTTAAAAATAAATTGTACAGTATATTTTGCTCTGGTAATCCACTGGAAATCCACCCCTCTGGTGGGATCAGGATAATCCAGTTTTTTGGGATCAAACTGATCCCAATCCTGTGTTGTCGGTTTGAACTACCCGTTTTGAAGATTTTATCCAGATTAAAGCTTGGATTGGATTTCCTGATCTGATCGGATATCAAAGTGATCCTAATCCTGTTTTTTGGTTTTGAACTCCCCTAAATCCAAATCTGATTTGATCAGATAGGGATCAAAAGTTTTGAACTCCTGGGCCCTGGATATTATTTTAGAAACTGCTTTCATCGCAATGCGATGTTTCCAGAGAGAACAACTGTGAGGTCCGTGCAGAAAGCAGAGCAGTGTGTATAATATATATCACTCAGTATAACAGGCCTACTCTCTTTATTTGCTTTAGTTTAGTAGATATCTACAAACAAAGAGTCGATATTTTTCTAAGACCATTGCTTCACATAATAAAATACACAACGGCTGTATCCTGATTATGCTTTAGGAGCTGTAGGTGTGTGTGTGGTACAGTATGTAGGTGTGTGTGTGGTACAGTGTGTAGGTGTGTGTGTGGTACAGTGTGTAGGTGTGTGTTGTACAGTGCGTAAATGCGGCGGACAGACAGGTCTCAGTTGGTTTGGTGTCCTCTGCTTACTTTTAATACTTGTAAATACAACTTTTGGCCCGTAATTTCAAATCCCCATTTCAGCGACCAGAGAGAGGGGGGGGGATATATCCAGTCTCTGATTGTGTTACGTTATTATGAGAGTGCTCTCATACATTAAATTGCATATATTTATATAAATATATTTGTGTGTGTGTCCGCATCTGTAGCCTGTTATTGTCTCATTATACCGCACTCTCAATGAATTCAAAGTAAATATGTGGGGGAACAATGTTCAGCTGATCTAACAGAGATTATAAAATACAGCGCTATGACAAAACACTCGACAGCTGATGCAGCTGTTGCCACGTAATAATGAACGGACGTCGCTTTAATATGACCGCTCAGAAGAGAGGAGTTCTCATTTCTTTAAACGTCTGCTGCTTCCCCTCCTCTCTCCTCGGTTCCCCACCTCGGTCCTCCGCTCGCATCTCCTGTGGGCGGGTCTAAGTATCGAGGAGGGGAGTCGAGGAGGGGAAATTTAAGAATTGAGAAGCCTCTTGTGTCTTTAGTTGAAAGCCCAGTGGTGATCTGTTCATCTGTCAAACTGATCATACAGTCAATAACTTTGTTGTTATTAGCATCTGGCTCGCTATGCTAACGAATATAAGAAGCTTTTTCTACAACCAGTGAGGTAAAGGCACATCTTTATATGATCAGTATAGTTATAAACTTATAAAAAACTCTTATAAAAATAAGTGAATAAAGTAAACAGGTATAAAATACTTTATGACAGTAAAAAAAAGTTGTTATTAATAAACAAGAATACAGTTTGAAAGGGGAGTGATTTGTAAAATATCCATAAAGAAAAAGAAATCTGCTTACAGTTCTGTTTCATATGGGTGTTGAGAGATGTATCCATAGATCTACTAATGTTGCTCTCAAAGTGCACCAGATTGATGCTTTTAACTTCAACATTTAAAAAAAATCTTCCCGGGGGACCGTGCCCCCGGACCCCCCTAGAGGAGGTTAGGTCCCCCCCCCCCCACTTAAATCATGTCCACATGGATAGGAAACTAAATGCCACAACCTTGCACGTGAATGCATACGTGAGTCATGGTGAGATATCTGGATTAAGAGGTTGCTTTTTCTTTGCACGGCATGAAAGAAAGGCGAAATGAATGGGCTGTGAGTTTAGTATTTTTAAGCAGAGGTCAGTAATTTGTACGGCCCTCGGAGGATGTTGGAAAAATTGAAATGGGCCTTGAGAGGAAAAAGGTTCCCCACCCCTGCACTAAATACTAATATGAACCTGAAAATGAGCATAGGGTCCCTTTAAATATATGTATAGAGAAGTATATTTAGTTGAGGGATTAAGTAATAGGCTGCTGCCGTCATGACCTGCAAATCAATTTCTTTGTTACTTTAGAATTCTACTTCTATTCTGTTTTATCCTAGTGGCAGATTTAAGAGCATTAGCACACTTTGAGAATTCCTCCTGAGAAACAGACAAACAAAACAGCAGGACTGAAACACACTCTCTGTGGAGGAGATAAATGCAAACAGAAAACATCAAAAGCGTTGAGTTTTCAGTTTTGTGAGAGTAAACAAACATCAGTGAAATAAGAAAAAAATCTGGTGTTATAATTATAAATTGCCATTAGAAAATCAAGAGATATACTGTGATATACTACCAAAGACTGATATGCAGCGTCTTATTTAGTATACAAGGAGAGTCTGAGGAACAAGGACGAAGATGGAGGGACAGAAGAGGATAAAGGAGAGATAAATATGAGAAAATGAATCCTCAGTCTGACAGGATGGAGGGATGGATACTGAGGAGACAGAGAGATAGTGAGAGAGGAGGTGGACAGATTGGCAACCAAGGTTTCTGTCTATATTTTTAAACCACCAGGGGGGAGGAGGGATGGTGAGGAATGTAAAGATGGAGACAGAAATAAACGGATGACGAAGGATCATTTCTCTGTCAGAGTCAAAGAGAGGGTGACAAAGACAATGAGAGACATGAGGTGTGTTTTTGTTTTTTCTTTGTTCTTGTGTTTTTCATCCCTTGGCATCATCCCTGCCTCTATAGGGACTAATGTTCAGGAGGCGGAGGCATAACTCGAGAGCCCCCTCCTCGTGACGGTGGAGGGATACGAGGGGAAGATGCCGGTTGCATGTTAATTAAGCAGAATACTAATTGGAAAGACAGAAAGGAACAAAAAAAAAACCGAGACCACCACTTCAGCTTCAGACACCCCCCCCCTTTCCAGACCAGAGTCTGCGAGTGCTAATCGGAAGGTTATTAACTCCGTCTGTCTGTCCGTCTGTCTGTCTGTCTGTCTAGGTGACAGCATTAAATTAAATAACAAGGATAAAAAAAAAAAACTCAATCTATTAAACACCGGCACAAAATAATAATCTTACGGATTCATGTTACTTGGGCAAAACATGCTTCGTCATAATAGAGTGGAGCAGTCCTAAAACTGGGAAACGAGAGAGTGTTTTACCATCCAGTTAACTCGCCTCGAAGCTAACGTTTTTCACCGTCCACTATTTGTTAAACTGAGCGATCCACACTGGGAGAGTGTTAGGTGATGGCGGCAGCCATCAGGTCTAATTAAAGAACGACGAGTTGTGTATGGCAGTCAAACCTAGTTTTAAATCTGTAATGCATCCAGGATTTGATTTGCTCTGCGTTGCTGCTGGCGCATCACAAAACTGGGGTTGATAGTTTTCAAATGTCAGTCTGAGAGTGAAAGAAAAAGAGAGATAGAGAGTGACGTTTATTTCAAATGTATGTCAAACCTCACGTTAGAGTTTAAACCTCAAAGACTCGATTTACCTTTCAATCAAAAACATGACAGGAACAGACATCTGTATTTATTTCCTCTGAGATAGCTGTCCGATATCAGTTTGAGTCATATCACAGAGGCTGCGACAAACAGTTTGGAGGACAACTTGAGCCTTTTCGAACCGTGAAGTCACTCCTTCCCGCTTTATATTTCCACCCTGTTAATATTTGTCTTTTATCAGTGTTTCAATAGATTCCTCAATCGATTTGAGAGAGAACAAAGTGTATTTCTGCAGAGCTTTGGAGGGTTATATGTGCAACAAAGAAAGGTTGCCTCAGATTGTCTGAAAAGGTGAACAAAAGATAAAAACTTCCTTTCAGAGATTCAGACAGGGTTTGATATGTTGTCTTTTGTTTCTGAAAACCAATCAACCTTTGAACATCCCTCACTCACTTTGTTTTAATTCAGTGTGAGAATTGAGCTGGAGCTTGTCCTGCCAGGAGTTTAGATCTGGGCTGAAATGGTGTCAGGGCCATTCTCATACACACATGCAGGTGCTCATTGGTTAGCCTCGGTTAGCCTGCCCTGGAACCATATTTAGTTTGAATTTTGATCCTGGTGGACTGATCATATTGGGCTCTGAGACTGCTTATTTTTTGTGACCTCAGTTCTGACTTGAGAGGGAATGTTTGGTCAAACACTTTGTGTTTTGTCTCACAGTGGCGTGTTGGCACTTTTAATGAGCGCCACGGTCTCTGAACAAATGAGACACGCTGGTTCTGTGCTCCCAGTGGGCAGGATGAACATGAAGGAGTCCAGTCAGGGTTAAAAGCTCTGTTCTCACTGTCCACTTTCCTCTTCTTGGAAAGCGCCATGTGTAATTATTTGTCTCTCCCTGTCTGCCGCTAACACGCCTGTTCACTCTCCTCTCCGTCTTCTCTCCCTGTATCGCTAATTATTCTCTTCACTCACTTTCCTCTCCGCTTCTCTCTGCCGCGCTCTCATCTCTTCTTCTGTGTTTCTCTCCCTGTATCGCTCACTCCTCTCTTTCGCCCCCTGTCGGCAGCGGTTAAAATAGAATTGCCCCGTTAAAATTGAAATCCCCTATTAATGTGTTGATTATAGGTCCGGGTCCGTATAGGTCGGCGTCTGGGTCCGGATCCGGACCGCGGTCCGCCTGTTGCTAACCCCTGCTCTATACCGAAGGCTGTTGTGCTCCCAGTAGATCCATTACTTAACTTCCGTCTTTTTCCCGTTTGATTGACAGGTGTGCTGGTCGTGAATGTGACGTGGAGGAAGAGAACCTACGTGGGAACTCTGTTGGACTGCACCAAACACGACTGGGCTCCTCCAAGGTGATACTACACTTTCTTTTACTGTCTTTTTTCGCCTCTATGTTTCTTTAGGCCCTGTATCCACATGGCGTCTTTTTCTGGCAGAAAAGTGTTGGCATCGCGCTGGGCAAAGACTTTTCCCAGCGTTCCATCAAAATACAAAAAATGCTCCTAGGGCTAATTTTTTTGTTTCTATCAGTGTTTTATCTAAAATGAAGACATTTTTTTCAGGTTAGGCAAAGATCATGATTTTGGCAAAAGTATCAATATGGTAATCACTGCTTCCTTGGCAGCCTATTGCACTCATGTCCTAGTTCAAGTTTGTTGAGTTTTTACTCTTAAGAACTAAAAAATAACAGCACAAACAGCACTTTGTTTTAGATTGTGATTGGCTTGTCACATTGTTACAAGGCAACACCAACAACAAGCTGCATGATGAGGCGACTAGGCACCTGGGACTAAAACTATATCTGTAACCAATTCTGATTCTAATTGTAAACACATTTTAAGGACATGTCTTTTATAATCATTCTGAAATTCACTTGCTTTATGTCCCAGTTTTTGTATTTATCACAGTTGTTCACATTTCATTGTTATTCATATTGCCTTGTTTTTGTTATTGATGCTATTTGATTAACTGAAAAGAGCATTTATTTTGTGTTTTTAAGCATTATTTCTTTAATGCTTTTGAAATGTGTGTTTTTTCTGTTTAATGATGAGCTATAATATAAATACTCTCCATCACAAACGTTTTACAAATTGAGTGTTTGCTTGTAATTGCTGAGTTGAAAATATGACAGTCTCACCTCGCATGGCTGAAATCTTTCAATTATTGCTCCTCACTATCTGAAAATGATTGTTGTCATGGCAATTACGGCTTAATCTCAGATACGGGGGAATAAATTGCCTTTTTCATTTGGTCACCGCTGATGTCTATAAGAGGAGACTGAATGCTGTTTTATTACATAATTGAATGGAACAAATTGCTTCCTCTTCGTTGATTCAGCAGTCAATGAATGGAACCAAGCGATGAAATGATGCAAAGCACAAAATATAACTAAATCAATATAAAAAACGTTGAATGTTGAAACAAATTATATATAAATGAGCTCAACATGTGTAACTTTAGAAGTTTAAAGAAGGTGGTCATCTGGAATAGGTCAAACACATATTAAATAGAGGCATGAAAGCAACAAATAACCTTGAAATGCCAAAATAAGTCCATAACATTTCAGTCGGACACCCTCGCAGCTTCAGTGACATTCAGGGACACACTGATGTAAAAAAGCAATTACAAACATCATAAGACATGTGAGATATCATCGCTTTAAAATCACAGAGGGGGGACAAGAGAGTCTAATCTCAACCTACTTTGCAGTCTGTTCCATTAATAACATGATTAACACCCAAAACAGTCTTTCCAAGGTTAGAATATATTCATTGAGTCCTGCAATGTAGTGTCATAATTTATGCACTTAAAGGATAGCACATATGCAAGGTTCAGGGTCCAGCTTGAAAAATAGCGTCTTACTCAGTCAATAAATGTACAGGAATGCCTTTTCCTCCTCCCAGCTGATGTTGATGTTGATATACATAACAATGTGTGAAAAAGAATCTTCAGTGTTAAGATGTGAGGGGCTCGAGTAAACAGCATCAAAAGACTTCAAAGTAGAAAGGACGGCATGTGAATACAAAATGTTTCAATATCAAATACTGTGGATTGTACACGTTTTTTTTTATGTTATCTAAAGAGAAATAGGCTTTGCACAAAAAACTCAAATAGATTTGTATCCTAGACGTCTGTGGTAAAGTGGTCCACATGAGCCCTGAAAGATAATCTGTTATATTCCAAGTTTTTTTTCCAAATTCAATTTCGGTGATAATATGAACAAGTTGTTCCCTTTTTTTTTCTGTTTGGTGGTTTGAGGTGTTCTTCAGTTTGTTTATTTATTAGAATTTGGATCAGTAGAGTTTGTAAATGGCCAATATGGTGGTGACTGTTTTGATTGGCTTGCTAGAAAAAAAGTGGCACACCTTTGTAAAGGTATATCTTAAACCATTGGAAATACTCAGATGGGGATGGTTTATTGTAAAAAGCCTGCAAGGGTATCCAAATCTGAATGGCTTGTTAAATCCAATGTTTTCTGACCCAGACGGTCCACAAAAAACGGTCTTGGTTGTCTTATTTCACAGTCGGTGCCCCCTCAATTAACTTCCAGCAACTTGTTAATACATATTTTATCAATACTCGGCACAACAGGACACAACCTAATACAATCCGCCTCTATTGTTGTGAGGAATTTTCATCCCAATCCCTTGTTTTTCTCTTTCTCTGTCAAGGTTTTGCGAGTCTCCATCCAGTGACCCTGAGCTGCCAGGTGGGCGTGGTCGGGGGAAACGGATGCGAATGGCCATGGCCGAGAGGCCCTGCGTTGAGCCATCCCCTGCTGCCAAAGTCAGGGGTCTGTCACAGCACAGAAGCCGTGGAGGGGGTGTGTCTGGAACCACTGTACCCATCCACAGCAAGGGACGGAGAGGAAGCCTAAACCTCATCAACAGCAACTGCCGAACGCCTGCTTCTTTCTTCACTGTGGATGAGGTAAAACCCACCAACAGCACCTCCTCTCTCTCCTCCGGGAAGCGCAAGAACAAACCACCGGCTGACCTAGACCTCAGTCTGGTCTCCTCTGACGACATAAAAAATGGGAATGGAAAGAGAATCCGAGCCAAATGCCGCAGCGCCCCCTCCACGCCGCAGGGCAAATCTGACCCCTCTTTTATGGACCCTGGAGGGGGTTGTGCCTCTTCACCACCTCCCCCGCCTATTCTCATTGACTGCCCACACCCGAACTGCACTAAACGCTACAAGCACATCAACGGCCTTCGCTACCACCAGACACATGCACACCTTGAGGCTGAGGAGCAGAGGAAGCCTGAGCTGGAGCCAATGAAGGATGGAGAGAGTGAGGAACGACTATCAGACTGTGAGGACACGATCAACATGACATATGACCTCTCAGAGACAACCAGCACTAATGCCATCAGCTCCTCTAAGAAACCTACCCCTCTATATAAAGTGACCACAGTGGGGTCTCCTAAGAACAGAAGACTACTCCTCAGTACTGACCACAGCCCCTCAGCCAACCCCAAGACCAGAAGAACCTCTCTGCTAAAAGATGGTCTGATTGATGACCTTAGCAATCTGCCTATCATCTCCAACATGACCGTGGTTTTGGAGAACTGCATGGTCCCAGACAGGAACTCCATGGTCGAGATGCCCAAGCTGGAAGCTGAAGGCTTGATTGACAAAAAGGGAGGTACATGCGACAAAGGCAAAAAGGCCAACGGCAAGGTAGAGAAACTGTCCAAGTCACGGACCAACCGACCTATCGCACCGGCCCCTGCTCCTCCCAAGCTGGTAGCAATACCCAATACAGCTTATCCGACCAGCACAGCAGATACTGCCAACTCACAGCAGTCCTCACCTATGGCAGCCGTAGGCCTCACCAGTAAAAACCTTCCCCTGAAACCCATCAAACCAAAGCTGAGCATTGTTGTGGAACCGAGCCTTGTCAAAGCCACTCTGGTTACCTGCAGCAAAGAGACCAGGAAGAAAGAGAAACGGAGACTGAAGGACAAACATAACAAAGATGCGCACACCAGGTCCCCTAATGCTGACAGCAGTGCAATCAAAATAGAAGATGGTGTTAATGGAGGTTCCAAAATGGGTGTCAAGGAAATTTCTGGAAGCCTTCTAAAGGAGCACCTCAGTAAGCAGGATGTAATCAACGGGCTCACAGAGAGCCAGGAGAGCAGGATGGCCAGTATCCGAGCTGAGGCTGACAAGGTATACACCTTCACCGACAACGCCCCCAGTCCGTCCATTGGTGGTTCATCACGGATTGACTCCAGTGGTGTTTGCCTTGCATCAGACAGCAAGAACAACAGCCCAGCCTACTCTGACATCTCAGATGCCGGGGATGATGGAGGATCTTCCGAATGTCGTTCGGATGGAATGCGGTCCAAGTCTGCCTCCTCGGCCTCTTCAGAGGTGAGCTCTAACAGTAGCCATAGCAACTCTGGTAAAACCCCACCCACAGCATCTGCCCCACCATCAAAAGACCCCCAATCCCCATACTACCACAGCTACGACCCATACTATCTACAGGGGTACATGCAGTCGGACAGGCAAAACAGCAGCAGCGTTCCTTTCCACAAAAGCGCTGGACTTGACGGCAAAGGCAAAGACAGAAAGGAAGAGGTGAAAGATGATGACAAATGCCTCTCCCACGAGTTCTCAGACTCAAAAAAAGGTGATGGGCCACCTCAGTCTCAGCTCCAGCTGGCTATGAGTCAGACACAAACTGCATTGGCCCAGTCGTTATACTATGGCCAGTATTCCAGAGGACTGTACATGGACCAGAAAATGTTGCTGGCATCAAAGTGCTGTGACCAGACGCACAGTGCCAAGCAGAGGGGCGAGAGAGGGCAGGGGTTGAGAGACAGTGAGGATGAAAAATATTTGGTTGGGGGTTTAGCTGGTGGACCCATGCTAGGCAAAGGTCCAGATGGCCTTAAAGGTTGCTGCCCCAAACCTGTCCTGTCCTACGTGGAGATGAGTGAGGGGGGAGAAAGGGGACAGTGTCACGGCGTGAAGGTAGTGCACGGTGGCATGGTGGACCAGCACCAGGTCTTGATGAAAGACTGTGATGACATCAAGTCACCTTCCTCTTCCTCTTCTTCATCAGTCCACAACCCAAACAGTCAGACAGATCTGGACTCAAATGTTTCATATTCCAGTGTAAGTTTCTCCCTCTGTCTATAACCTGCCGCCGCCGCTGATGGTGTTGTTGGTGTGCTTTAATGACTGTTGTTGCGTGTCACAAAGAGATTAACCACACATTGTGTACAGCTAAACCAATAGGTGCTAATAACAAAGACCATTTGGCTTCTGTGGTGCTGTAGCTGTCCATTGACATACTTCCGTAGTCATTTTGGTTGAAATCAAAATGATGTGGTTTGATTTGATGGATGAAAATGTTTTAAATGTGTAGCACTAATGAGGGAAATGTGTAATCCAACTTTAGCTGTATATAAAACATAAACACTTAAAAGAACAAAATCATTTTAATACATAAGTGTTGGTTTTTGTATGAGCTACTTTTATAGAATGCTTGTACAGATTGTTGACCATGTCATCTCACAATGCATTTAACCACTAACTCTAGTACTGCTGGGTATGTAAAAAGGTTGTATGAATCGAATGAAAGCTGTGTCTGGGAGGTTGTTTTTTCCTTCAGCTTGGCCTAGCAGTTGATGATGTGTGAGAAGTGTCTTGATTCTTGTCATTGAGAGGGACGCCACACTCCTCACATTCCACCTGTGAATGGCCGCCTGCTGTTGAAACGTCGTCATCCTTCATCAACATCACACCCAGAGCCAGTGATAGATGGTCTGTCTATGGTTCTGTTCACTCAAATACACAGTGTTTCCTCTATAGTCATTCAGCAGCGGTGGGCCACCGCAGCAAGAATTTCTCCAAACCCTGTTAAAAACGAAATGCACAAATGAAAGTCATAAATTAGCCTCCAAAAAACACAGTCAAAAGGTAATGTTAAGACTTGTGAAATAGGCCTCAGATTGAGCTCTAAAACTAGTCATCTTAGCAAAAACTGGGACAGAGACGTGGACAGAAGTTGAAGTGAACCAAAAATGACTCCCACCCACCACTGTTGGCTAAAAACTATAGGGGAAACACTGCAACTACCACCAATACTTGTCCCCATCGATTTAGCCCTCAGACAGCCAGGCCTGGGCTCATTGCCTTGCTCACAGCAAATACTCAGAGCTACAACATGCGGAGGAGGCCGAGGAAGGTGAAGCAGACAGGGCAAAAGAGTGGGGCTCTTCTGTGGAGCCTGCTGGTGCCAAGATGACCTCAGGAGAAAGAGGTGTTGGCGGAGATGCTAAGAAAGCCAGGGTCCATGATCTCCCGCCCGCCATCGACGTGGAGGATTCAGACAGGCTGGATGGGCTAGATGATCAAGGCCAGGAACCAATAGGAGGGCTGGCAGAGGAGTCCCAGAGTGTCCGATCGGCGGTGTCCCCTCCCATGGCCCCCCAGCAGCCCTACATCCAGTACCAACACTCCTCCTACCCGCCCTACCTGGCAATGTGTGAGAGCGCAGGGGGCTCCTACAGAGGGGTTTCCCCAACACTGGTCCACAATTACCCAGGTAAGAGTCTGATTAATGGTTTAGGTTTAATTTAAAGGAACGTGTTGTGAAATATGTACTTACTTTATTTACTTCTTGAACTGGGCACAAAGACAGGAAGGTGCTGTTAATCATTCTCGAGTTTTGTTGGAAAAACGGAGCTTTAACGTTTGAATTAGGGAGCTTCAGACCTTCATGATGGTGGTATTCAGCCCCCGCAACCGTAGCTGGGCAGACAGACAACAGGTTCCAAAGAAGAATTCTGCTTAAGGACTTCCGTTTAAAGCTCAGAAAGCACTGTAAAACTGAACACACAAATGTACATTAATTTAGTGCATAGAAATCATTCAACATATCATACACTTCCCGCGTATGCTCACAACCACAACATTAACGATGGGTTAGCTTCATGCTATAACACATGGGAACTTAAATTGATGCACTAGCATTCATCGATGTAACTATGAATTTACAGCAGTATTTCCATTATTCATTGATGTAGTCCTCACACATACTCTTTATAAAAATACTGAAACAACAGAGCATAGACATTCTAACAGGCATATGTTTTCCTAGACAACAATGAGAAGTGGAAACGTGCGTCTGAATACATGTGACTTTCGCATAACTACTAGTATGGCAACACTGAACGTACAATACAGAACTCAGAGCATTGCAATTGGCACTTTTAGACACAAAGTTTCCTTTTTGAACTACATAAACAATTTGGCAACACAGGTGGGCTCCTATTTATTGAAGTTGCTCAGTGGCACATGAAGCCAAAATGACTGGAATGCTGAGTGATAAAATGACACTGATCCACAGGTAATGTTACATGTCTATGGCCTCATAGAGCATGTACACACGCTTTCCCTTAAACCCCCCACCAGTCACTCTGTCCCCTATTTTCTTCAAAAGGCTACAGTTCAAAACATAAATGCATATTTGATACTCTATAATGGACTATAACTTCGCTAGCATCGAGAGAGAGAAAGGTTTTAATATTTCTAAAATTCGCCAAGTTGTACTTTATGGTTTCAACCTTTTCTTTTACATGTTTTTTAAAGATATATATATATCGGAGCAGAGTGTGATCCATTATAACACAATTGTTAGTGACCAACACCTTTCGTATTTACAAAATGGCATTATTATCTTGTAAAAACGGGTTATAAATTACATGACTTAAATGATATATATATTTTCATGAAAATATTGTATTGGTCCTGCATTTTTTGGGGACTTAAAGAGTTGAAGCGACAGTTGAAGTTGAAGCACTGACATGCTTTGAAATGTCAGACAAAGAGTTATTTTTGAAATAATTTGAAGTTGCAGGTGCATGCCCTGTTCTCATCAAACAAGTTCTCAAAAAAGGCAATATCATGACTATTTCTTAGATGAGTCACAATTAAAAAAATGGCACATTTACAGAGTTTGTGCGCGTACAGTTTTCTGGGGAACGGCCTGTAATAAGATTCATATTTGAGGTTATTGTAATGTATAAGTTGCAAAATGGCAGCAAAGCCATCAGTAAATTATATTAAGGGTTAATTTTGTAATAACAGTAGGTGTTTTAAACCCTTTAAACCCCCTAATTCATCCCCAAATCCTCTTTAATGCTTCTTAATTTGACTGTCATGAATATATATATATATATTCAATGTAAATGTGGGATGAACCATCAAGCTTATTAAGGTTGTAAGCTGCTGCTGAATTTGAACCTTAAATAGAAGATCATTTTTTCCGTTTAAATCATTTTAATTTCTGTATGGGCTCATGTCCCCTCTTTTTTTTAAAGGGATTGTTATACAACAGTGTTTGATAGTGAAAGGACATGTTCATTTGCATAAATCAGGCACCCAATAACAAATAGTGCATGTAGCAACTATGGTATCTGAATTTTTTGTTGTCACTTAATTTATCAATAGCACATTTCATAATATTCAAGTTTACGAAATTGTCAAATCATACGCAAACATATTAAAGGCAACCTACTTTATATTGCTTAAGGGATTCTAAATATACTGTATCTATAAATATAAAAACAAAGGCCTCAAAATGTACAACTCTTTTCTTTTAGGTGACTATTTAAACTCATTGTGCATGTGTGTTTCTTGGTCTGTGTGTGTTTGTGTCGACCAGGTTTCCACTACCCTCTGTACGGTAAGACGGCAGGCAGGGAGGAGTCGGAGGTGACTCCGCCTGGCAGGGGAGGAGCCGTGAGCAGCAAGCAGAGCGGAGACTCGTCCTCGTCCTCTGCCATGGAGCTGCTGCAGCAGCAGAGCCATCAGTACCACGGGAAATCCCCTGCTGTGAGACACCACACACATTACTGCCACATCCATACTGTAGCTCACAGCGCCACAACATTCATCACACTACACAGATGTGATTATCCAGAGACACACATTAGAAATCTGATTTCGCTTAAACCTTGGTGAATATTACAAAAAATGCTTTAAGGACTTTAACTTACACACCAGCATTTACAATGATATTGCTTGTTTGAAGTAAATAACATGCAACATAAACATAAAACATAAACATAAAAAAAGACAACCAGAAAGTAACATTTCTGTAAAAAAGTGTAAAACCCAATGTGTGTGTGTTGAACAGCCCGGTGAGAAGGGCTCCCCTGAGGGAGAGAGGGAGACGGAGCGAGAGAGGAACCAGATGTCATTCGCCCGACACCTCCACACACACCATCACACACATCTGGGTATGAGCTACAACCTGATCTCAGGACAGTACGACATCTACCAAGGTACAACTCACCCACCCAGAAATCACATGAGCAGGGCCGGATAATTAAAAGTCAAAGAACTTCATAATATCTGAAACTAAAGCCAACATATAGTAGAGTGTGTAAGGTGACACAGTCAATATGTGGCTTTAATGATCATGTGACTTTGTACTTTTGGTAAGGTAGTTGCTTGTAGATCCATAGGGGATAAAACTAATGTATGGGTTTAGGAGTCATCACTGCACCTGGACATTTTATTTCTAAATGTGATGTTTCACAGCTGTTTTTCTCTCACTGTGTTGAAGGGTTGAGCTCCAGGTCGCTGGTCTCCAGTCAGCAGGCGTCAGGACACTCCTCTACTGGTGGGTTAGTGCTTTAAGTACCAGACTGTGTTCTATTAATCATGTTCAAACATGTGTCCTTTTGTTACGTAAAAATGTTTCACAAGCCCTGGGAGCAAACGTGATTCAAGGGGATATTTTAATAATGCCTTGATATCCCATATAGCAATGGGATTTATTAATCAAACTTTTTAAATACCTTTACTCATTTATAGGGGTCTAAACGTTTCGTTACTTAGATTCAAAATCAATTCTGGATTCAGATCATTGTCATTTATTAGTAAATGATGACATTAAAGCATGTGTGTATTAAGTATCGGAGTTGTTTTGTTTATAAAAGTTAAATCAACTGTTTGAAATAATGTAAGACACAAAGACCGATTTGAGCAAAAGGTAACGCATTCGTTTTTTAAAGAATTATAATTTCAAGTTACACAAAAAAATGAATGTTAAATAAATGCAATTGGGGGGCTTAGGCTAGTTGCCTTTTTTCTGAGAAGAGGACACATTTTAAAAACGACTTACAATAACACTAAAACCGGTATTTGCTGCAATGCTTGAAACATCTTTGATTTGGTGAATAGGATTTTCGCAATATGTAGTTTCTTTTTGGAGTATTCCTCTTAAAAATATATTTTTCGTCTCGATTCATACATGAACTCTTTTATCTCTGCATTAAAAATCTCAGTTTTTGTTGTTGTCCATTATAATGTTTTGGAAAATGAAAAACATACATTCAAATTGCAATCAAAGTTTTTTCATGCAAACATTTCTACTCAATATTGTTAAATAAAAGGATATTCTAAAAATATCCGTTTCAATTATTAGCCTGCTCTATACAACACACACATATACACACAAATGTGCCAAAACGAATAAAGAAACATCTTCACCAACTTGACAACACATGCTCAGCCTTTAAAAAATATTCACCAACTTTTCCCGGGTCGCCGAGGGTGCTGGCGTTGTTTGTTCGCCGCTCCTCCGCCCCAAATATTGTTCTTTAGTCCAGATCAGAACCTCTCCTGTCTGGCTCTCTACTTTTGAAACGTCAGTCATCAGCAAAAATAGCAGCATCTCTATATCGAATCGACACAGATCTTTGTGCTGTCATCTCCTACCTGCTGGCTCTTTCCTGCTCACCGGTCCCTAGCCCGCTAGCTAGCTAGCATTATCGGACCTAGCAGGCTGCTACCTAGATGCTCCTCGGCTCCCTGAAGTCTGCTGAGCTAACATTTCTGTCTCCACCCCAACTCCACCTTAACTCCACCCTAACTCCGCGGCTCGTGTGGGTCTTCCCATCCCGCTGCGATCAGCCGGCTTCCCCGCTGACATCGTCTCTCTCTGCCGCCTACAGCCGGTGGCTATCAACCTAGCTAACCAGCTAGTAGGCTGGTCACCCGGCTCCCACTCTGCACCAGGCTGTCAGCCCCTCCTACGATTCTCCTCTGGAAACCTCTGGAATTATTCTCCTGATATGCTGTGGATTATAATTCTCATTTTATCTGGAAAAGAAAGTTTGGGGCTCTCTGCTGGAACTGCTACCCCCGCGACCCGACCACAGATAAGCGGGAGAAGATGGATGGATGGATGGATTTTATCTGGACTCACACCGCTCCTTCTTCCACGGTCATCCGGCTCCTGGTCTCTGCTGCCCGGGTCCCCAGCATTAGCTAGCTCCGTGCTAGCGCCACTTCACCGGATCATGCCGCCGCTCTACTCCCTGTCAGATCTCCACTCCTTTAATAACCGCCTGCCTCCGGACTGCATGGACATCCTCGTAGATAATGAAATACTCCGCAAACGCCGTCCTCCACACAGAGGCTCTGGCCGTAAGTTTTTATTTAATTCCACGTCTCCACACTCCATCCCGACCATTCGGTCCTGTCACACGCCCACACTACGCCATCACAACAAACAACACGTGAATCTGACCAATCTCCTTCCACTCCCCCGGTCCACACAACCCCCCCAATGCAACGTCACCTCAGAGCAGCCCTGCTCAACACACGCTCCATCCACAATAAAAGCCACATTCTGAATGAATTCATTAAAGACAATAACCTGGACTTTCTGTATCTGACCAAAACATGGCAAAAACCCCTGGACTATTTTTCTTTAAATCAAATCACCCCAGCAGGATTCACATACATTGACAAACCTCGCCCACAAGGGTGGGGTGGTGGTATAGCTGCTATTATCAGAAAGGAAATAAAAGCTACCATAATCCCCATCCCTGATGTTTCTTCATTTGAACACCTGATCTTTAAACTCTCTGGTCCCACTCCCCTGGTCACAGCCATCATCTACCGTCCCCCGAAGCCAAACCCCTCCTTTCTCTCCGATCTCTCTGACATTCTCACTCAGCTTTCTGCCATATCCCCATCTGTTCTCCTCTTAGGTGATTTTAACAATATGCCTCTGAATTTAAGGAAACCCTTCACTGCTGCAACTTCTCTCAACACATCAACTTCCCAACACACAGCCGTGGTCACATCCTGGACTTGGTCTGCTCCACTGGTCTCACCATCCATCATCTGTCCAGCCTCAATTTCCACATCTCTGATCACCTGGCCATCATCATGGACATCAACATCCCCATCCCCGCCCAAAAGCAAAAACGCACAATAACCTACAGAAATCTCAAATCCATCTCACCTTCAGCAATCACTGCCTCCATTACCTGCAAGATGTCTGTCTCCCCCCCCCCCCCCCACTTTCTGAAAACCCATCTGAACTTGTGGACTATTATAACAGCACCCTCTCCTTCTGTTTCAATGAACTGGCCCCCACAAAAACAAAAAATGTCTCTTTCATACACTCCGCCCCCTAGTATACCCCCGAACTCCGCTAAATGAAATCAAGGAAACGTCAACTTGAACGCCAACACAAGAAAACCACACTAACAGTCCATCTTCAAATCTACAAAGACTATCTCTAGCAGTACAGTAACACACTCAAAGCAGCCCGGTCTAATTACTACTCACAACTCATTCAGTCTGGCTCCAGCAACCCCAAGCGTCTGTTCTCCACCATCAGCAAACTTCTCAAACCCTGTGACAACGCCACCTCATCCTTCACCACCGAACAGTGCAACTCCTTCCTCTCGTTTTTCCAAACCAAAATCAGCAACATTTACAGCAATCTGACACCCTCATTAGCACCCCCCACATCCCCTCCTGGCTCCCCCCCCCTTCACCTCATAGCCCCTGTCCCACTTCTCCCCTGTGACCCCCATGCAACTGTCCGACTTCATGACTGGAATTAACTCCACCTGCACACTTGACCCAATGCCCTCTGTAATGGCATCCAAGGGTTTCCTCTTGCCACTATAGAGCGGGGTTGACGACACGCAATCCAAAACAATAAGCAACCGAAGGTTTTCAGTCAAAAAAATGTAATTTATTAACAAAAAAGTATTGACTTAAATAGTCTCAAAATAACAAATCTTTAAACAGTATTTCGGCGATATGCTTTCCTATATAAACTAAACTATACTTTGTGTGCAGTCCAATTTGCAACACCAATCTCTGTCTGCAATTTGCGGTCGAAAACTGTTCCGCTCCCCGTCTCATCAGGTCTCCGAGCACGCCGGCTGTCCTCAATTACCTCACTTAAATACACACCGGAAGGTACAAGGAAACAGATCATATTTACGATATAAAATTAACAATCACTTCATCAAAACATATTCACCATGGCAATATAAATCATTTTCCATCATTAAATCATTTATCAAATTATGAATCGAAATAATAACTTTGTGGCTGTAACATACCGGCCCCTAATTGTTGACGCAGTAGCAAAACAATTAATACATTATAATAGAGCCAAAAAACAAGCAGTTACTCAAAATGTAACTGTCATCAATATACAATCATTGTCATAGTTCATAGTCCAATGTTTGTGTTTGGTGTGTTTGCATGAGTTCAAGAGGAAAAGGGGGGGGGCATGTGTGTGTGTGTGTGTGTGTGTGTGTGTGTGTGTGTGTGTGTGTGTGTGTGTGTGTGTGTGTGTGTGTGTGTGTGTGTGTGTGTGTGTGTGTGTGTGTGTGTGATACTGGGTGTCAGAGGTTACTAGCACATGACACCTTGTGTTCAATCAACTGCTTCCAGAAGCAGGCAGAGCTTGTCAATTGGTCGCTGTAAGGTGCTACCCTTGGTTTTCACCAAGACACTTTGGACAAGCCCTTTCGACCCTGACAGTGTCTTTATCACCCGGCCCAGTTGCCAGGAATTTCTTGGTGCAGTGTTATCCACGATGACGACGAGATCATTGGGGCGAAGGTTCCGTTTGGGGTTGTGCCATTTGACTCGCTGTTGCATGATTGGGAGATATTCTCTTATCCATCTCCTCCAGAAGAGATCTGCGAGGTATTGTGCCTGTCTCCATCTCCTCCGTGAGTACAAGTCCTCCTTGTGAAAGAGTCCAGGTGGCATAATCGGTTTTGTCTTTAGCAGAAGGAGGTGATTTGGCGTGAGGGGTTCGAGATCGTTTGGATCACTTGAAACTGTAGTCAATGGTCTGTCATTCATGATGCTCTCAACTTCGCACAAAGCTGTCTGTAGAGTCTCATCATCCAATCTCTGTTCTTTTAGAACGGAACACAGAATCTTTTTTACAGGTCTGATGAGCCTCTCCCAAACTCCACCATGGTGGGCTCCATATGGCGGATTAAAAGTCCATTTTACTCCGTCCCCGAGTAATACATTTTGAATCTTGTGTTGATTCAGGTCTTTAAGAGCAGCTCTTAGCTCTTTCTGTGCTCCCACAAAGTTTGTGCCGTTGTCTGTCCTGATGCTTATCACCTGCCCTCTGCGACATATGAATCTGCGCAAAGCATTGATGCAGGAGTCAGTGTCCAATGAGCTCGAAACTTCCAGATGTATGGCACGACTCACAAGGCAGGGGAAGTCAGGTGAACTCCCCAACGTTTTACATTTGCTCTGCCTCGTTTAACCTCCAAGGGTCCAAAGAAGTCGATACCAACATGAGTAAAGGGTGGTAGATCTGGAGACACCCGATCCTCTGGGAGGTCAGCCATTTTCTGCTCTCCAACTGTGGCTAGCATTCTTCGGCAGAAAACACAGGCTCTGATTATCTTTCTGGCTGCCGAGTTAGCACGAGGCAACCAGAATCTTTGATTTAGTCTTGAGAGCATGTGGCTTCTCCCCGAGTGTCCAATCTGCTGATGGATGTGGCCCAGGATCAGTTTAGATACAGTAGTCTCTGGGCAGGATAATGGGGTTCTTCAGATCCATTGGCATTGCTGATTTGCTTATTCGTCCTCCCACTCTTAGCATGCCTTCAACTAAGATTGGGTCCAGCTTCCTGATAGAGCTGCTTGATCTTACTTGCCTTCCCTTCTCCAAAAGTGCAAGTTCCTGAGAGAAGTGACGTCTTTGCTCAGAGTGAATTATTGACCTTTCAGCTTCTCTAATGTCCTCCACAGACAGATGTTGTGATCCAAATGTCAACTTTAGCTTGTTCATTTAGTCCTTTAAGGATTTCAAAAGAGTCCAATCTGGGGCAAGGTCAGCCTTTGCAGATTTCCTTCTTTGATTTAGCAGAAGAAGAATTCCCCTTAATTTAAGTATCCAAGCAACCCCTCTCTGCAGTCTGCTCCATGATGAGTAATACTCAAACAGTTTGCTGGTTGGGTTGGTTTCGTGGACACTCAAACTGTTAACTGCTACGTCCTTTCTAACCTCTGGGTCCTCTGATGGAATAAGGCCCAGGTTCTTAGGTGTTTTTGGCCAATATTCCTTTTCCTTTTCCAGATACTTAGGTCCTGTTATCCACCTTGATGTCTTTAGAAAGTCTTCTACATGCAGCCCACGGGATGCGTCGTCGGCAGGGTTGTCTATGGAGCTCACATGCCTCCACTGCTTCTCCTGAGACAGGTCCTTGATCACTGAAACTCTGTTTGCCACAAATGTGTGATATCGTTTAGTCTGGTTGCTGATGTATCCGAGGACAGAGGTGCTATCTGTCCAGAAGGTTGAGTCGTTGAGGTCCACTTTAAGCTCCCTTTTCAACATCCTGTCCACCTTTACTGCAAGTTTTGCTGCAGTAAACTCCAATCTGGGAATAGTGATCTGTTTGAGTGGAGTCACTCTGGATTTTCCCAAAATAAATTAAACATGGACCCTTCCCATACTGTTTGTAAAGCGAAGATAGCTGGTGGTGCCGTAACCTTTTTCACTTGCGTCACAGAAGTGATGAAGCTCTGCAGTCCTGATTGGTCCCAAATTCTCAGGTTTCATACACCTGTGTACTTGAAATCTGCTAAGCTGTTCCAACTCAGTGATCCCTTTCTGCCATTGTTTTGAGTATTCTTCTGGGATGATTTCATCCCATCCACACTTTATCCTGCATAGCTCTTGGAGGATCTGCCTGGCTTTGAGGATAATTGGGTAGAGGAATCCTAATGGGTCGTAGATAGAACTGACTGTAGAGAGGATCCTTCTCCTGGTAAGAGCTCTGTTTTTGATATTGACTTTGAATATGAAGGAGTCTTTCTCTGTATCCCATTTGATTCCAAGTGCTCTTTCAATTGGCAGGTTTTCCCTGTCAAAGTCCAGATCCTTGAATAGCTTTGCTCTGTGATGCTCAGGTATACTTGCAAGCACTTCACGGTTGTTACAGACCCATTTGGTCAATGAGAAACCTCCTTTGGCGCATGCTTCTCTGAGGTCTCAGATAAGCTTAATAGCTTGTTCAACTGTGGCCACTGATTTGAGGCAATCATCAACGTAAAAGTTGGAATTGATTGTTTCAGTTACCTCTTTGTCGTACTTGAAGCTGTTGTCTTCTGCCACTTGTCTGAGAGCATAGTTAGCAATGCTAGGTGAGGACACAGCGCCAAAGAGGTGGACCTTCATTCTATATGCCTCCAATGAATTTTCAGTGTCTCCATCTGGCCACCACAGAAACCTAAGGAAGTCTTTGTGCTCTCTCTGGACTTGCACTTGATAGAACATTGCCTCGATGTCCCCCATGAAAGCAATTTGTTCTTGGCGGAATCTAAGCAGAACTCCAATGAGAGTGTTCGCCAGGTCTGGACCTTGGAGAAGTTCCTTGTAAAGAGATGTGCCTTTGCATGATGCAGTGCAGTCAAACACAACTCTTAAGTTTGCGCTTTTGTTGATGGTAAACACCGTGGTGAGGTATGTACCATATCTGTCCATCATTCCTGTTAAGCTGTTCTGGTGGCACTCTCTCTGCATAACCCCTTTTTAACACATCCTCCATGAATGTTTTGTATTCCATGGCATATTCTGCATCCCTCTTAAACCTCTTTAGGAGATTTAGAGTACGTTGTTTTACCATTTCGTAGTTGTCAGGCATAACTGTGGGGTATCTCTATTACTTTGTAAGGGTAAACCCCAGCTCGGTTCAATAATACCAGAATCCAGTGAACAAAGATAACAGTACTCATGTTTCAAGTTTACTTGCTGCAAGGAGAATCAGCGAGTGACATGTCATGTCAACTCCATAACCAACTCCCAGCTAGGAGAATCGGCGAGTGACATATGCCATGTCCACTCCTTAACCAACTCTCAGCTAGGAGAACCAACTCTCAGCTAGAAGAACCAACTCTCACCAACTCTCTCAGTGCAGTCTTTTTATTTCAAAAAACAGTAACATGAGACAATCATGTGGTGTTGACAAACGCCTTATTTGTTAGTGTGTGAATCTTGTGACTGTCAGTCATGTGAATCTGTGTGTGTGTATGTGTGCCATTTGACAGAGAACAGACTGTTCTCTGTTGCTACATAACACATTTTATGAGAACACATTTTATGAGAATACATTAATGAAAACACATTAATGAAAATAGTATATACATTATGAAAACACTTTTATCCTTCAATAAACTCTAACATTCCCTCCTGTTTTTCATAATTACTAGCTGGTTACAGTGTCTTTATAGTCATTAGCGTCAGACCCAGCAGGGTCACTACACACAACACCTCTCCCAACATAGTCTAGTTGTGATAGTGGTTCTGTTGTTTTCTTCACCGGGGTTGAGACCAGTATTTCCTAATGAAACACCGCCCTTTGTAGCCGGACTTCCACCACTTATCTGTCGTTAAGTTGGAGAGGTATTATCTTTTTGCAGTGGCTCTGATGTATCCACGTAGTTCTTTCGGCGATTTTTAGTGCAGTCGGTGTTGTCAGCAATACCGTGTAGGGACCGTCCCACCGTGGACAGTGCCAATGCTTCCTCTTAATCACCTTCACGAGGACCTGGTCACCAGTCTGCACTCGAGTATCCTGTAAGGGAGTAGAAATGTCTGGCAGGTTATTTGTTCGAGCTATCTCATTACTTCTAAAGAGTCTGCTCATCCATTCAGCTAATGTAGTCTCTGCCTCAGCATCATCCTCCTCCCTCACCTCGTCTGTGATTGGTAGTCTGAATTGCCTTCCTATTATGATCTCAAAGGGAGACAACCCTTTTGCCGTGGGTGTGATTCTCATGCATGTTTCTACTTTCCTCTCTGTGGTCGCTCATTGCCTTGAGCATTGTCTGCAACATACTACACAGGCTCTACAAAAGTTTTTAGAAAATGTAATATAGTTGTATGTATGGAAGTGTTCATTTATTATTGTCACCATCCCCTCCTGTTGAGACATGGCACGGCCCATGACTCAAATGAGCTGCTGTTTAATAGAGACTAACAGGGAGTACTATCTTGTTGTTTATTCTGAATACTTCAGAAAGGTCAATGTGATGTGTGTGGACGTCCTCTTCTTCCTTTTCTACGTCTAGTCAGTTGTCATAACTATGTAGGTTATGTGAAGGGGGGGGGCCATGTCTTTCGTCTTTGTACTGTCCCTTTTGTCCCCCTTCTTTGTTCTGTGGTCTCTGTTCCTCACAGTCTCTCGCCATGTGCCCCTCCTTTCCGCACCTGTAGCAGAGAAATTTGCCTTCTGCGTTTCTGCCTCCTCCTCTGCCTCTGCCTGTTCCTCTATCATTCCCTCGTCCTCTGTTAAACCCGCCTCTCCCCTGTCCTGGTCCCACAAAGAAAATCTGATTTTCTTCCCCATCTTCTCCTATGAAGAAAGCTGATGCTGACGCTTTCTTATGTCTTTTTTCTTTGATCTGGGTTGCTGCATGTTCTGCATAATTTAGGCACTCTTGTAAGTCGCATGTCCTATGGTTAACATTATGCTTGCGGATAAAGTCAGCAATACCTGGGTGGAACCCATTCATCAGGCTTTGTTTCAGCTGCTGCACATATGGGGAGTCAACAGCATTGCTGGGTGGAATTCCGCTATGGATACGGAAACAATCTTCCATTCTGATTCTGAAATCTTGTACTGACTCTTTTTCTCCCTGTCTACACCCTGAGACTTTAGTAAAGTCTCGTCTCAGTGCAAAAACCCTCTCGATTGAGATATTTACGGAAGCGAGTGCATTTATGAGGTCCTGCTGACCTGGTTCCAGGGGGTTTCCATTGGGCGAGGACCCGGTGAAATCTCCCTTTACCCTGGCCCATTCGTGGCCAAAAATTGTCATAAGGGTTCTTAAAACTTCATGTCCATTTAAACCATATGACGCTATTAATGCAGTATGGTCAAGGACAAACTGCGCCAGGTCCTGTTTGTATGGAGTCAGTCCCTCACAAGCCTTTTTACACTCATCCATTGTCCATGGGCGGAACACTTTTAACATTCTTTCTAGGTCACCGTCAACTCCATAGTGCAGGTTGGCCACTTGTACTAATGGATAAGCATCACCCTGATATGCTGTTCCATCGAAGGATTGTTCTGCTTCTCTTAATTCTTCAACAGGATATAACTTGGTTTCCCCATTATTTTTTCTGGTGTGCAGTGGGCTTAATGCATCAGCCATTTCTATGTCGATGCGTTTTTGTGTCTCTCTTTCCCTGTCTTTTCTCTCTTTCTCTTGCTTTCTTTTTATTCTTTGTTCCTGCGCTTTGTGTGCTTCCACTATCGCTCTCTCTTTCTCGCGGCGTACAGCGTCAACTGACCCTGAACGCCCTGTCTCCTCGTCTGCTTTCACTGAAACAGCCGCTGCTATCATACCTTCTTCTGCTTCACCTGTCCTTTTATGGGCTTGTTCAGCCCATAAAGCTGCAACTCGCAGTTGAGCTTCTAACTTCTTTCTTTTCTTGCCTTGTGTTGTTCCAGCTGTTGCTGCTCTCAATTTGTCGCTTAATTCTCTTACTGCTGTTTTCTCCAACTTTCCTCGGAAGCCGTACAGTTTATACCATTTGCTACAATAACTGGTGCTGCCATGACTATATATTTCCATATATCTCATGTCCCCTGTAGCGGCAGGCTTACTCCCATTGGACCCCATGATTCTAGCTTGGTGTTCCTACTGGACAACGTGCCGGTCAGAACCTAATTCCTAATTCACCACTACGTGTACTTCAACAGACCACAGAGTTTTTGTTATCACCGTTAGGTTTCCACTCTGTGCGCTGATTCCACTTGGTGACACTTTTACACACTGCTTTCACTCAATCACTCATAAGTGTACCCAAAGGCACGTCAATCCTCCTCCTAGGCGGAGTAGCCTTTCTCTATCAACGTTTTATCAACCTCCTTAACGGCGGAGTAGCCTTTCTCTATCAACGTTTTATCAACCTCCTTAACGGCGGAGTAGCCTTTCTCTATCAACGTTTTATCAACCTCCTTAACGGTGGAGAAACCTTTCTCAACCTCCTTAAATGGCGGAGAAACCATGTATATCAACTTTTTATCTTACCCGTTATCTGTGGTCACTGGTCCGGTTGGATTCCGTCAATCGTGCCGAGGATGAGGGAGGTTGGACATATAAGCACCGGCCCGGCCACCAATTCTGCGTCCCGGGTCTTTCTCGGGGTCGGCTGATGATCCCGGCTGTCGACAGACTTGCGGCGTGTCTTTTCCCTCCTCCTTCCCGTCACGATGTATTGGAATCCGGCTCGAAGGACCAATTAATGTGGGGTATCTCTATTACTTTGTAAGGGTAAACCCCAGCTCGGTTCAATAATACCAGAATCCAGTGAACAAAGATAACAGTACTCATGTTTCAAGTTTACTTGCTGCAAGGAGAATCAGCGAGTGACATGTCATGTCAACTCCATAACCAACTCCCAGCTAGGAGAATCGGCGAGTGACATATGCCATGTCCACTCCTTAACCAACTCTCAGCTAGGAGAACCAACTCTCAGCTAGGAGAATCAACTCTCAGCTAGGAGAATCAACTCTCAGCTAGGAGAACCAACTCTCAGCTAGGAGAATCAACTCTCAGCTAGGAGAACCAACTCTCAGCTAGGAGAATCAACTCTTAGCTAGGAGAATCAACTCTCACCAACTCCCACCCGCCTTCTCTCAGTGCAGTCTTTTTATTTCAACAAACAGTAACATGAGACAATCATGTGGTGTTGACAAACGCCTTATTTGTTAGTGTGTGAATCTTGTGACTGTCAGTCATGTGAATCTGTGTGTGTGTGTATGTGTGCCATTTGACAGAGAACAGACTGTTCTCTGTTGCTACATAACACATTTTATGAGAACACATTTTATGAGAATACATTAATGAAAACACATTAATGAAAATAGTATATACATTATGAAAACACTTTTATCCTTCAATAAACTCTAACAATAACTATGTCCTTTTTTTTTCGAAAAGGCAAGGGTAGGTGATAGTGTCCATCCTTGAGTTCTACTGAGCTTGATGCCATCTCCATGAACCTTTTGTCTTCACCTGACATTTCCTTCTTCTCTTCATAATCTTTTTCCGAGAAGTCCTGATTGTATTGTGTGATGAGGAGATCATTCAGGTTGGCTACTGATATTCTGTTGACCATTGTGACCACAGGTCCGGATTCCACAGCAGTACAAGCGTTGAGTGGTCCATTTACCACCCATCCAAACACTGTCCTGACTGCATATGGTCCATTTCCTTGACTTCTTATTATGTCCCAAGGTTCCATTGCCTTAGGAACATCCGTCAATCGTGCCGAGGATGAGGGAGGTTGGACATATAAGCACCGGCCCGGCCACCAATTCTGCGTCCCGGGTCTTTCTCGGGGTCGGCTGATGATCCCGGCTGTCGACAGACTTGCGGCGTGTCTTTTCCCTCCTCCTTCCCGTCACGATGTATTGGAATCCGGCTCGAAGGACCAATTAATGTGGGGTATCTCTATTACTTTGTAAGGGTAAACCCCAGCTCGGTTCAATAATACCAGAATCCAGTGAACAAAGATAACAGTACTCATGTTTCAAGTTTACTTGCTGCAAGGAGAATCAGCGAGTGACATGTCATGTCAACTCCATAACCAACTCCCAGCTAGGAGAATCGGCGAGTGACATATGCCATGTCCACTCCTTAACCAACTCTCAGCTAGGAGAACCAACTCTCAGCTAGGAGAATCAACTCTCAGCTAGGAGAATCAACTCTCAGCTAGGAGAACCAACTCTAAGCTAGGAGAATCAACTCTCAGCTAGGAGAACCAACTCTCAGCTAGGAGAATCAACTCTTAGCTAGGAGAATCAACTCTCACCAACTCCCACCCGCCTTCTCTCAGTGCAGTCTTTTTATTTCAACAAACAGTAACATGAGACAATCATGTGGTGTTGACAAACGCCTTATTTGTTAGTGTGTGAATCTTGTGACTGTCAGTCATGTGAATCTGTGTGTGTGTGTATGTGTGCCATTTGACAGAGAACAGACTGTTCTCTGTTGCTACATAACACATTTTATGAGAACACATTTTATGAGAATACATTAATGAAAACACATTAATGAAAATAGTATATACATTATGAAAACACTTTTATCCTTCAATAAACTCTAACAATAACTATGTCCTTTTTTTTCGAAAAGGCAAGGGTAGGTGATAGTGTCCATCCTTGAGTTCTACTGAGCTTGATGCCATCTCCATGAACCTTTTGTCTTCACCTGACATTTCCTTCTTCTCTTCATAATCTTTTTCCGAGAAGTCCTGATTGTATTGTGTGATGAGGAGATCATTCAGGTTGGCTACTGATATTCTGTTGACCATTGTGACCACAGGTCCGGATTCCACAGCAGTACAAGCGTTGAGTGGTCCATTTACCACCCATCCAAACACTGTCCTGACTGCATATGGTCCATTTCCTTGACTTCTTATTATGTCCCAAGGTTCCATTGCCTTAGGAACATCAACTCCTATTAGAAGCTCTATGTCAGCATCAATTTCTTTCAGCTGTATGTCACTTAGATAAGGCCATCTTTCCAGATCCTTTTGGGTAGGTACATTTTCTTTTGAGACAGGAATCTTACTCTGTGTGTATACCTGAGGTAGGTCAATGTAAGTACTGCCATCTAAATGTCCTATTTCCAATCCTTTGAGTTCGTAACTCTTTACAAGTCGTTCCTGACCCATTGTTCGTAGAACGACTGTCGTTTTTCGTGCTTTGGGATTCAGCTGTCTCATTAGATTCTCTGTGCAGAATGACGCTGAACTGCCGGGATCAAGAAAAGCATAAGTTGAGATAAACTTATCTCCTTTGTGAACCTTGACTCGAACAGGCACTATGGCTAGGGCACAATCCCTACCGGCCCCAGTAGCTTCACCAGCCGAGACAAGTGCACTGTTGACCCAAGCTCCTTTTGTTTCAGTAGGGGGAGGCTTTTGTAGAAGTGGACTGTCAATGTGAAGTATTGTTGGGTGACTCTTTTGACACTTTTGACATGTCAGCCTTTTCCTACAGTTCCTGCTCATATGACCCCTCATCAAACATCCAAAACAATAACCATTTATCTTCAAAAAGTCAACCTTTTCCTTGTGTGGATGATGTTTGAACTGATGGCAATCAGTCAGCACGTGCTTGCCTTTACAAAAGTAGCGAAAAGAGGCAGGACTGCCCCCTTGTGGCTGTTTGAAGGTGCAACGCTGCTCTGTGTTTGACGGTGCAGCGCTGCTCTCCTGATCACATGCTGCTGCGATGATGGTGGCGAAGCTGCTGCCTCTACTTTTAGGTGTTCTGTGGCTCATGGGTTGGCTCCTAGTGGCCATCCTTGGGCTAGAGATGTGGCGATCCTGTATATCCCCAAATAATGGGTCCAGGAGTATTTTAGCTTGTTTTTCCATAAGCTCCACAAGGTCACGAAATCTAGCTCTCTCCTTTGTTCTCTGTAATATATCATAAGCCACTGTCCGCCATTTTTCTCGCAGTTTGTAAGGGAGTGTAGATATTATTGATCTTAGATTGGAAGGAATATCTAGTTCATCCATGTACTTTAAATCTTGCATAGCATTGCAGCATCCTCTTAAATACATTGCATATGCCTGAAGCGCTTTACCATCATCCGGTCTAATTGATGTCCAGTTCATTGCCTTTTCCAAATAAGCGCTGGTTACTTTGATCTCGTCCCCAAAGTGCTCCTTTAATAGCTGTTTGGCTTCCCACTGCGGGAGGCTTTGAGTGATTTTAACAATGTTTCTGCGTCAGCAGAAGTCCTGGGATCGTCCAACATTATTTATTTGTTTGTTTTTAGGCCGTGCGTAAAAGACGTTGCGCTCCTTTAATGAGTCTCACAGAGCACGCCTACTGGCTTCCTTTGTTGCACAAACAAATTCAATCACATTCTTTTCACAGACGATCCACAGGTATTTACAATCCTCCTCCAATGTGTGCATCACCGTTATGATTTCCTTTTAGACATTAACACATCCGACATTCCAATCAATGCGTACACGGATTTATTCCCTTTATTTACTCACGACCGGCCCAGTCTGTCCGCTCCGGTGTGTCCCTCTTTTCCGGGGATCCAAACGGTGTGTGTCTCTTCCTTACGGAGTTTTTCGACTTGATGTAATGGCATCCAAGGGTTTCCTCTTGCCACTATAGAGCGGGGTTGACAACACGCATTCCAAAACAATAAGCAGCCGAAGGTTTTCAGTCAACATTTTTTAATTTATTAACAAAAAAGTATTGACTTAAATAGTCTCAAAATAACAAATCTTTAAACAGTATTTCGGCGATATGCTTTCCTATATAAACTAAACTATACTTTGTGTGCAGTCCAATTTGCAACACCAATCTCCGTCTGCAATTTGCGGTCCGAGCACGCCGGCTGTCCTCAATTACCTCACTTAAATACACACCGGAAGGTACAAGGAAACAGATCATATTTACGATATAAAATTAACAATCACTTCATCAAAACATATTCACCATGGCAATATAAATCATTTTCCATCATTAAATCATTTATCAAATTATGAATCGAAATAATAACTTTGTGGCTCTAACACCCTCCAAATTTGTTAAAGAGAGCCTCCCTGTCATCTCCCAACTCATCGCCACCATCATTAACTTCTCCCTCAGATCTGGATCAGTTCCCCCCTCTCTCAAACTGGCTGCTGTCACACCCATTCTCAAAAGACCTGGACTCACACCTGACATCATGTCCAACTTCCGGCCCATCTCAAATCTCCCCTTTCTGTCAAAAATACTTGAACGTGTCGTTGCCTCACAACTTAAATCCCACCTCAGCTCCAATTACCTCTTTGAGCCATTTCAATCCGGTTTCCGATCAAAACACAACACCGAAACAGCTCTTCTCAAAATCACAAACGACCTCCTCCTCTCCTCTGACTCCGGCAACCTTAACATCCTCATCCTCCTCGACCTCACCGCAGCATTCGACACCATCAACCACGCAATCCTGCTGTCCCTCCTCGAATCATCACTCAACATCACCGACACTGCACTCTCCTGGCTGAAATCCTACCTCACCGACAGACATCAGTTTATCAACATCAACAACTGCACCTCCTCCACTGCTCCTCTGTCCCAAGGTGTCCCCCAGGGTTCGGTGCTTGGCCCCTCCTCTTCACCCTCTACATGCTCCCCCTTGGCAAAATAATCCGTCGCCACAACCTTCAATTTCACTGCTACACCGATGACATCCAACTTTATATCTCAACAAAAACCATCACCCCCACAACACACTCCACTCTCACCAACTGTCTCTCAGAAATAAAAGCATGGATGCAAACAAACTATCTCCAACTGAACAGTGCCAAATCAGACATCATCATCATCGGCCCCCCATCCCGTACCAAAGACATCCAGAATTTCAACTTCACCATTGACAGCCACACTCTATCTCCCCCCCCCTCACATCCGCAACCTCAGTCATCTTCGACAGTCAGCTCAAATTCAACCACCACATAAATCACATCACCAGGACCGCCTTTTTCCACCTCAAAAACATTGCCCGTCTCCGCCCATCACTCTCCTCCTCTGCTGCTGAAACCCTGATTCATGCATTCATCACTTCACGACTCGACTACTGCAATAGCATCCTCTACGGCAGTGGTTCTCAAAAGGGGGTACGCGGACCCCTAGGGGTACGTTGGAGTACTGCAGGGGGTACATGAGATTTATTTTATGTTAATTTAAAAAAAAATAATAGATAAATATACACATTTTAGGAAAAGTAAGGAAGTTTGAGCAGTGTGGGTTTTATATTAATAGACTAGAGTTACACATATTTCAAAACTCGAAGTGTAATAACTGCAGTTTGCCTCCCTGTCAGAATGACAAAGTTCCTCAGTGAAGCACAAGCCCATGTTTCTCTCTAAATTGTAAGTACAACTTATTAAAAAGATCAGTTCAATGCAACTAATGTCGTCTCAGTGTTATTGCATGATATTAAAATTGGTTTGCCATGAATTTAGTGATGGATTGTAAACATTTGAAATGTAGCATTTAAGTGTTTCTCAGTTACAATGTTGTTGTTTTAATAAATCAGACACTGATGGTGCAGCACTGTACTGTACCTCTATATAGGCTTTTTTCCCCTAACAAATAGTTTTTGCGCTGATCAGGGGGTACTTGGCTGAATTTTTTTTTCAAAGGGGGTACATTATTGAAAAAAAATTGAGAATCACTGCTCTACGGCATACCATCCAACCTCCTCAATAAACTCCAACATATCCAGAACTCTGCTGCCCGCCTCCTCACCCACACCCGCTCCCGAGACCACATCACTCCCATCCTCCAGAACCTCCACTCGCTCCCCGTCCGTCAAAGAATCAACTTCAAAGTCCTCCTGATTATTCACAAAGCCCTCAACAATCAGGCCCCCCCCCCTACCTCACAGACCTGCTGCACCACCACGCCCCTTCCCGCTGCCTCCGCTCATCAGAAGCCAACCTCCTATCCATCCCCACCCGCATCAATCACCGGACCTGGGGGGACAGAGCCTTCTCCGTCGCTGCCCCCTTCCTCTGGAACTCACTCCCCCAACCCATCAGAGACTGCACTGACCTCACCACCTTAAAAAAACTCACAAAAACTCACCTCTTCAATCTGGCTTTTAATGTGTGATTGTTTTTGTATTATTTGACTTTAACTTTAACTATATATTTATTTGTTGTTCCTTCCTTTTCTTTTCCCTTCACTATATCTGTAAAGCGTCTTTGAGCACCTGTAAAAGCGCTAACAAATTAAATCTATTATTATTATTATTAACTTGACGAAACTTGCGCAGCATTTACTAAAGCGCTGCAAATACGAAATGCTGCAAATACGAAACGCTGCAAATACGAAACGCTGCAAATTTCAAAAACGCTGCATGAACCTCAAAACATAATGGAAAAAGGGACACTAAAGAGTGACGCACACAGCTTGGACCATAGCGCTTGTTGACTTTCTGGGATTATAAAGTTGGCCAACTGTCATTGTTACATAAAATAACAATGCGATCACATGATTCCCTTCAATATTATTTCAGATCTGTTGTGAGCTAGCTAGCTAGAGAGTGAGAGTTGGCCAACTGTTGTCCTAGCCAGTGGTTTAGTGGGGATTTTTTTACTGGGTGGACGCTATTTTAATTAGGTCATCCCAAACAATGCCACAAGTGTGCACGCGTGCAGTGCACTCATAAAACGGCCACGTCGTTAGGCGGCTCTTCTGATGATGTACTGTAGTACTAGTAGCAGCTTCACTTGTAGCTTCGGTGCTGCTAGCCTCTTTCTTCTCGTGAATGATATTCCTTTTAGAAAAGAAGTCAAGTAACGTTTTTTTGCCTGCCATTATAGAGCCGTTTCGTTTGTGTTCTTGAGGGAAAGAGCTGCTGCAAAATCGGCGGGCGGCGAGCTGGTGGTGTCACCCTGGGGTCACGAGCGTGATGACGAATCATAATTTTTTAAGGAAATTGTTTTTATTCTTTATTATAATTACTGTGAAATGTCACAATTATGTTTTTTTCATTATTACAACAAATACACACTTGCAACTGATAACACTGGCAATGATTTTATATTTATTAGACTATTCAAAAAAGTGGGGGTTCCAAATAAATGGGGAAACGGCGATCCCCCGCGTCCAACGGCACTACACCACTGGTCCTAGCTGTGTGCATCACTTTTTAGTGTCCCCTGGTTTCTTTTGCGTTTTGAGCTTCCTGCATCTTTTTTATTTGCAGCTTTTCGTTTATGCATCGCTATTAGTAAACACTGCGCAAGTTTCGTGAAGTTGGTGAAGGTTTTCTTAATTCTGCACTTGTGGTCAAGTTGGTGAAGATGTTTTTATGCTTGTTGGCTACCGTACATACACATCATACAAATATACACACAAGCTAGGGCTGTGCAATTAATCGTATTTTAATCGCAATTACGATTTTAGCCTGCCACAATTACGAAAACAACATATTCGAAAAAAAAGATTATTTTGCTTTGCTAGGTTGTGACAGTGCACTGCAACATATTTCATCTAATTTATTTTAGTCTAATTTATTTGTATTCATCATATTTATATATGTTTAGTAGCTTGTTGAAGTGCGCTCCAAAATATTTGATGATCTTGTTTATTGGTATTTATTATTTTTGTAAATATGAATGTATCATTTATTTTATTTATTTTTGTATCGGTTTTTCAGTTGAATTATACATTCAGGGTAATCAACAGTTAAAAAGACACTGTTCAAATTATTATTTGTATTTGTTTTAAAGTTCAATAAATGGATGTTTTCAAAGTCAATGAATAATCGTATTTAATAATCGTGATATAATTTATTGACCAAAATAATTGTGATTATGATTTGTACCATAATCGCACAGCCCTAACACAAACATTGCTACATTTGCCACAATATTCTTATTAGTTAATATTTTACATTTTGTTTTGAGCTCTCACTGTGAATCACAGACATTTAAATGGCTATTTTATTTATAAATTCCAAGAATAACAGCTCAGTCAGCTCGCTGAGACTCGTTTCCTAAATGATCCAAAAGCACCATTAGCCAGTTTGCATTATTTTCCATCTATTTTCAGAGGCCATTATATATAACTCTCTGAATGTGTGAAATAATGGAGAGGGAACCTGCCAGGCTGTTAAACAGCATAATGTGATAATTACCTTACTGCTGCACAGCCTGCAGTTATCTATAGATGTGAAATAATAGAGATTAACAGAAGAGAGGCTGACAGTGGAAGCAAACACAGAAATGAAGGAAAATACCAGCATTAGGCGCTTTCACACCGGAGTACTTTTCCCAGTATAGCTCCGATATAGTTCCGAAAATGTGCGTTCACACCAAAAAAATCCGGAACTAGAATTTAGTTCATGAGAACCTTTTCACCAACTTTTCAGTCCCTGCTAGAGAGCAAGTACTTTCATGGGAGAAAAAGGTTACCATTTCTGATTGGCTGGGCGGATTGCAAACCACGCCCCGTAAAACTCCCAAAAAGTTTTATTAAGCCGCCATTTTATTATCCTCGCATTAGCATTATTAGCATTAGCCCAGCGCACCAACGGAGAGTGACTAACATGGCAACACAAAATAAAACATGGGAGCCGTGGAGATGAGGAGGTGTCGGCGTTCTGGCGATTTACTCGGAAGGCTTCAGAACCAGTCCCCAACTCCGGGGACTTCCGGCCGGGGACTTTGGGCGGCAGTATACGCCGTGAAGTGGTTTGCGGCCTGCCAGTAAACCCAAAGCAGAAGAAGAAGAAGTGACGTCAGCGGCTTCATTTGCGTAATCCTACCCCAGGGACTTATTCCGGTGTGAACGCGATCTGTACTTAGTTCATGAGAACTAAAGAGTTCTCATGAACTAAGTTCTGATGAACTAAGTACGGCAAAGTACTTGGTGTGAAAGCGCCTGTTGTTCTCCAGAGGCTATTGTTCAGGATATCTGAACATCAGTAATTAATTATTTTCTTATCTTGGGAACACCTTTTCTTTTTTTCACAACTTAATGATCTCATTATCTCTAAACAACACATCTTTGTCTTAATCGGTGCTGTTACTTTAACTGGAGGCTGACAGGAACGATGTTTATTTTGTGATCACAAGTCTCAGGTTTGTATTTGTCATAAGAATTCAGTTGTTGGCAGGGTTGGGACCTCATGACATCACTAGGTAACACTTGCGCTTCTATTGGCTAGCGCTCCAACACATTCTTTGTGATAGGCTAACGGGCGGGACATGTACAACAATTCTCTTAGAGGTTGACCAATCACAACAGAGCCAGCCAGCTAACCAACCAGAGCAGACTGGGCTCTGGTTTAAGACAGAGGGTGAAAAGAGGTGCTGCAGCACAGGCAGTATGAGAACAATAAAGAGCTTTTTGAACATTAAAGCATGGAGACATGTCACAGTAGAGACACTAAGACCAATATGAACCTGAGAATAAGCATCCATCACAGTTAACGATTTGTAGCTTTCATTTATTTAATCAAAGTCATTATCCACATAATATAAACCTCCAAAACCTTTCCAAGAATCATTTTTTTGACCTTTTTGAATATACAAGCATGGAGAAATGTCACAGTGCTACATCCAAATATGAATTCAAACGAGCAGAATAGGACCCCTTTAAGTGTTGACTGAAGTTCCTGAGAAAAGGCTAACATGTGACTGGAAGTGTGTGTTTTTCCTCTTGTCTCCACAGAGAGCGATGGGAAGAAGTAGGTCCATGTGAGAGGCCACATCTCACATGAGGAACGGCAGATTGATCAGACATCAATTCCATGGTGTTTAATAAGCTTCGCCTCGCTGAGAGGCAGAGAACAAAAAAAAAACTCTCATTTCTTAATAATGAAAATCACCTGTTTTATGACGTCATCGAAGAGCAGGCAACAGGAAAGAGAGCGGGATCGGGAGGAACAATCTGAACGAATGCAGATCACTGACTTTTGAAGCTTTCAGTTCTGCAGCATTTTAGCAGAAGCAGCGGCGCATATATAAAACACCGGGCGCTGTGCAACAGCCCATCTGAAGCTGTAGCTTCATAAAATGCACAGTTAAGGTAGTGTATAATGATGATGATATGACTGAATGTACTGAAGATGACTTGCTTTATCCCAAGAGTGTTGATTGTTTTTTTTAAAACTCCTATTGGGAAACAGCATTAGGAAGCTAAAAAGTCTATTATTATCCTTATTATTCTCATTCTGATTATTGAAGTGGTCCTCTTCCCTCCATAGTGCTGACGCTACATTTGTATTACTAACCTGTACTTGAGCGTAACCATGTTGATTGTATTGTCTTTATGTGAGAGTAAACCTTCACATCGACCTGCCCAGTGCCATGTAGGAACCCAGTGGTGTATATATTCTGTACAGACTCATGGCAGAGCACTAACACGCTTTATGGTACTCTGAGTTGATCTCCATCAGCCATGCAGGGGAGCGGCGGGCGGAGCTAGCAGCAACAGAAACATTATTTCTTCATTAGACGAGTTTAGTTCCTCTTTTGGCGAGAATGTTTTGCCAAATGAAAACAAAGTAATCAAGTAGTTGCCTAAACAGATGTGGAAATGGTCAAACCAAATTGACAGTGAGAATTGGCTTCGGAAAGCACTGACTAATTGTATATATTGAAAATAATATGAAGGCTTTGTTGGACTTTTGCATTGAAGATTACAGTCTATACTGTTGTCAATCTTGGCGCCAAATTAGGGCATGTTTTTGCCACATGACTCCTAAACAAACAGGGCAACTGTGGGAGGATTTAAATAGTTACTAGCTTTAATTTCTATCAAGTTCTTCTACCTCTGTTTGGGTCAAAGTAGTGTTCAATAGATAAAGTAATGCTTGAAAGAATGTGACAAATATTTAGTTAATTACTTAAAGGGTGCTTGGATTGTTAAATTACCTGTTGGGTTTTTCCTGAAACAGTGACTTATTTCTTATTATATGACTTTAATATGATCAACACTCATCAGCAGCATCTTCAGTTGGAGGTACAACATGAGGCTGAATGGATGAATACTCATGATGGATACCATTAACGTGCCATCTTTGTTTGAACATGAGACATGGATTTCAATTATAATTTTTAGACAGAACACTTTTTAGGACATTTCCAGTGTTAACATGAGTGTTTGCTAATTTTCTACATCTTTGTATTTAAAATAAGCTCTACAACCTACGATTTACTCAAAACTAAATGGAATTTGGTACATTTGCTCAGGTACAATAGTGAATTTATGACCAAAAATAAGCTTCAGCATGAGTACAAAAAATACTTTGTGTACTCACGTCTTGTTTTTAGGAACTTACAATGTGTTCAACATTCTTTATTCAATACATAGTAGATTGAAGTGTAGAGCAACAGCTGCAAATTGATGCGAAAATAAAAATAGAAAATATAGTAAAAGCTCAAAACCATTTATAGTATATTGGAACAGATGGTAAACACTGGAATTGCCCTTTTAAGTAAAAATGCTGTCATGTTTGCAGTCAGTAATCCACCTTTTTCAGGAGTTCAACAGTCCTTTGCTCCGCCCTTGCTCCCATGCCGTTTACAAGCTAACTAGCTCACTGCAGAGCCGCTGATAGACAGAATGGTCACTTTGTGTCTTTGGTGCCAAAACTAATCCCGCATTTTTAGATCTTTTTTCTTCCAAATGAATCACACTTGCCTGTTAGTAAATCAAAAGGCTGTGTTCATATATTGTGTGTAGCTTTTTGCGAAAAGTTAACGGAGTAAGGATTCGGTCAGGGGATGGGTGGGTACAAAACAGGACTTTCACTCTGGGAACCGTGTGAAGCCAGAAGTCAACTATGATTTCATTGGAAATGTAACCAACCTACTTTAGGAGCCCAACTTTCATAGTTATTTAACAGATGGTTGACGTATTTGTCACATACCGTCCGTACATGAGTAACGCCACTTCCACAGTCAGTGTTACTCAAACCACAATATTTTTCTTAAACCTAACCAAGTAGTTTCCCGTAAGGAAGTTGATTTTGAAAAGAAGTATGTAAGGAGCGAAAAACGCAAACTTTCATGCTCTGTTTTCGATAATACTGGGAACTATTTGATCATCCTTTGAAACGATAACAACAGATCAAACTACATTTTTTATAGTTTAATGACTATTCAAATGCAAGACCTATTCCTAAAATTGAAAGGTTTTGCTGGATTTTCATAAGAAAACACATGATAAATGGGGATAACTGTTTGTAAGATTAATTCCGAACTATGATAATATGTTTTTTTCAGAGGTAGAGACATCAGGAATTTCATACGATATTTCCTAATGATTAAAAATGATTTATCAACGTCAAATTGTCAGGGAATATCTACATGTAATGAAATATTAACAATTTCTTAGCTTATTAAAAATATACACATTGTATCATTGTGACGACATGGCTAGCATGAATACTCACGATTTCTAACCATTCTTCCTATTTTGCCAATGTAGCTCAAAGCAGCATGAAGCAGTGTTCACATCATGTGGGGTGAACATTTTTTAAAGTATATACAAGCTAGAAAACTCCCAATCCCAGTGGCGCAAACTCGACTATCAGCGGCTCTGCCTCACTTACACAACACCTTACCTGCATAGTGTCTGATCATTCTATTACTTGAATATAGTGCTATGAACTCTGTTTACAAAATGCTGTCTTCTTTTGGGAGACACAGTGTTGTCTTATAAAGGCTGCTTGGTATATGTTCAGTTCATCCACCCGTTGTATCCAGTTAATAACACACTGAAATAGTTTAAACATAAACCTGCTGTTGCTTTTTTATACTGTATATGCCTTAATTCATATGTTTGGCAATCATGATTAAAGGATGTTTATATATATTCTTTTGTCTGTGGCTTTTTCTCTTCATAAGCAAAACTATTTTTGGAAGTTAGGCTTTTGTTGGGGCGTTACCAAAGAGGGCGTTACCAAAGGATTACATTTTTTTTTTAAATAGTGAGATCTCCCCTCTGTCTTGATTTCAGAAAAATATATTTTTAAATGACACATATTACTCAGTGTTTTTAGAGCAAGTTATTAAGTGGAGGCATAGGAATTTTATAAAATATAATTGAATCACACATTTTTATTATGACTATTTCCCCCCCCCCTTTTGTGTATTTTTGTATACTGATGTTAGGCAAGTCCGAGTGTTAAAATAATTTACCTATATTTGTATGAGGTGGAGTAGGGCTAATTATGTATAAGCAGTAGTAGCCTACCTCACAATTGAGTAAATGTCCTTCCACCAGTGCTTCGAACCTCACTGGTAATTCTAATAATACTTTTATAATGATTAATAATAAGACCATATATTCTTGAGGCGCTTTTAAAGGCACAGAAGAACTCCTTACAATTAATACAATAAATACTCAGTAAAAACATACAGGGCAGAACATTATTACCAGGGCTGCACATAACTGGTGCGCATGCGCACCTCCGCTAAAAAAAAGAGCACCGGGGCTGCTTCTCAGGTCGACTATTTTCATTTCCTCGCTCCTCGGTCCTCGGTCTCACCGGAAGTTGATTTGCCTGCGCCATCTTGAGTACCGTCCCATGGCTCACCTGAGGACCGAGGATCGAGGAGCGATAATGGAGGAACCACCAGACCATCCTCCGATGAAATCCTCAGATACTCACCCCGCCCCCTTACTGTGTATCGCTCACTGATTGGACGAGGCAGTGCATGCACTGATCTGATGCTTCTTGACATGAGAGCAGTTTCCCAGCGGAGTGAAGAAAATACATGAACCTCACGGGACTCACTCCTCAGTTTATACCGTGTTTTGTTTCAATTCATGTATCATTTAGTTACAAATATGTGATATATCTGAACAACAAAGTGGTCAAAAATCATTTTATTCATTTATTGGAAACATTTTCATGATCGCTTTTTTCGTTTCACATTTTCATTTATTGTCATTTCCATTCAGTCAGTCATTAAGTGCTATTAAAATGTTAATATGCTACATATCCACACAAACAAACAAAGTGTGCAATCCAATGAATGTTAATCTAACTGGGTTTTGATAGATAACATATCTCTTTTTCTTCTCTCAATTATTTTATTTCTATTGTGCACTCTGTGGTGACCACCTATTAATACACTGGGACATAATTCATACATGGAACTACAGTTGGGGCTATTGTTTCCACACGGACATATATGTGTTGTTATCTATATATGTTGTGTGCCCTCCTGGCTCTTTCTCTTGTCGTCCCGGGCTGCGACCCAACAAGATCTACATTTCTGCTGCTCATTGAAGCAAGCTTTGTACCTCCATTGCACCGCCTCCGACTCCCTATCTCTCGGCACTACAACTCTAATCAATATTAATCAAACTATTGTTCGTTTATATATTTTAAGAATGGCGTTTATCTTTTTTGAGAATGACTTCTTATTTTATTTCATGTATTTGGATCTACAACAGATGATACTAATGTTTGTCAGTAAATGTGCACTAACAGAGGCGGGGGTGTTTGTGGAAATAACGGGGACAGAGCTGGCTGCTGCCAGACGAACAGCTGTGCAGCGTCATCACAAACGGACGTCGCTTCACGTGACGCTCGGGAGGAAAGGACGTCCCATTGCTCTTAAAACTCATTTCCCTGCTGCTCGTGGTTTCCTTGCGTCCCTCCATGCTTCCCTGGTGGGAGGGACTAAACGCAGGGAAACGACGCAAGTGAGGGAAGCAAGGATTTCATTTAACCCTCCTGTTACATTCAGGGTCAAATTGACCCGTTTGAAAGTTTGAAAATCTACGAAAAATACTTTCAAGTATTTTTTTTTAATGAAACTTCTTCTACTTACCTTAATCGACCTGAGAAGCAGCCCGGGTCATTTGAAAAAAGGCGCATTTGCGCACCAACATTGAGAGGGAGAAGAGAGAATAGAGGGGAGAGAGAAGAGAGAAAGATATTTGCTAGTTGCATATGAACTCAGGGCCGGCCCGTAGCGCTGGCGTAATAGATGTTCGCCTAGGGCGCCAGATCTGTGGAGGCGCTGCGCTGGCAGTTTTGGGAGGGAAAAACATTTTTTTGACCGTTGGTGCTCATCCTAATTTTCGGCCTTGATGTAACGATATTCACAATTAAGTAAATGTACACCCTTTTCACCCCGGTTACACGTTTCATTTGCCTTGTACGATGGGCGCTGTAAGTGATGAAAATGGGGGATGTTGGCTTATCTGGCAACCGCAGCTCACAGCCAAAATGCGAGTGAGTGAGGGAGAGAGGGAGGGTGCACCGGTACCGGCGCTGTTATTAGAATCTGGTGCTAGCTGCTTTAACGGATATAAGAAGAAGATGTTTCTAGAATAATGTGGAGAGAGAGTCCTCCCAGTCAGACTGAGAGGCTGATAATACAGCTCAGTGAGGTAAAGTAATCTTGAGTGTTTAGATAGTTCAAACGATTTGGTCACAATTTATGTAAACACATGTTTCCAAGGCACTCCTTTATAATTATTGGGATAAACAGGTTTGAAATCATTCCAATGTATACTATAGGACAGTAACCAAACATATCCTTTAAAACTGGAGAGATACATTTTTTTTTTTAAGGTAAAATAAGATATGAATGAACAACACAAATAAAATAAGTTACATCCATTTGTTATTGGCTATGGTAGGTTATTGGTTATGTTCACATACTTATTTGATTACATCCACTTTTCTAAGATGACAACAGAGACTTTCGACCCAAACCCAGCTGTTGACTTGTGGATGCAAGCAGCTAATCGCAGACTCAACCAGAGAGGAAGTAGTAGGCCTACATCATCAGCTACCATGTCTGACAGAGAGGAAGACAGTGAGGAGAACAGTCAGGAGGGTAGTGATGACAGCTTGTAGGATTACTGGTCGTGCTAATGTTGTCTTGTGTTCACCTCTGCATGTGTGTTCTGTGTTCACCTCTGCATGTGTGTTCAGTGCCGTGTGTCTGGCAAATAAAGACCCCCTCAAAAGTTACGGTTTATTTCATTTTAAGGATGAGCACCAAGCAACATCTCCAGGTGCTCCTTTGAGAACCAGGGCAAAAAAGTTATGTGCACCCCTGATTATTACAGTGTAGTGTATTGAAAGTTCAGACGTGATCCACGATGTACGTTTGCGACGTTATGCATGTGTGTCAGTGGTGTCAGACATATGGCCCGCAACAGGGTCCAATGCATTCTGCAGGATGAATTTGCAAAGTGTACAAATTACAGAGAAGACATTAACTGCAATTGTAACAAAATATTCACATATTTTGTATGTATACATTTTAAACATATCCAAGGCAGGGGGATAACCGAACCTTCTTCCTTAATAGTTCGACTTTGGTTTGTATGGTGGAGTGTCAGTTCAGGTTTACAACACAAGATAGTTTATTTAATGGGAACATTTTCACAATGTAATCGTGTGCACTAAACGAAGGGAGCAATTTGTGGCCACCGAAAGGACCACACTGGGTTCCCAGGAAGGCGATGTCTGGTGCAACACACCAAGAAAATGGATTGCCCTGCTACGATCAATGTTGTGCATGTGATGAAGTTCCCTGAATATAAAGTAGGCACCTTAACTTTATATTTCCTTTAATGATCATGTATTTAATGTCTTTACACAAACACACATGTTTCTGTATTTGTAGATATCTGTCAACAATGAAAAAGGGAAGCGGGAGGCATCCCAACAACTGAAACAGGCACTTAAAGATGACCAGAGCAAAGTAAAGACAGTAGCGCTCTTCGCAGCATACTTTCCCAAAATTGAAGGGCATCAAAACCACCCAGTTTCGGGACAGGTCAGTGAAATACATTTTTCATAAAAAACATTTTTTTTAATAATATTGATTTTAACAGCATTTAAAACTTGGACTTACCGAGTCCACTCTGCCTCAACTTAAACGTTCGTCTGTCCTTTGCCTTCACAAGAGAAAATATTGCAAATATGATCCTTTAGATTTAGCATGGCTGCCTCACTGAAGTTTGGATTATTTAATTCGTTAATGTATTAGTTTTATAGGTTTATGTGTTTTTTTGTTATATTAAAGAAACCTAGACTAACTAAATCCCCAACACCCCTGTCCGCACGGAGGAAACCTATTCCAAGAACAGTGGTAACCACTCAAAGTCCTCAAGAGAGAGAGAAACGACAGCAGTGTGGGACCTTATTGCGGGAAATTACTGAGCACACATACCACCTACAGGATGAGACGTTCATGTGTACGGTGATATCAAGAATAAATGATCTTTTGGAGGACGTAAAGCAACACAGCCCACATGACAATAGTCTTCCTCTCACCTTCAGGCCCCCCAAACACAAAAGGCAGGAGAGGACCATAAAACCTAGTAGACCATTAGTCCTCTCATTGTGCGTATTGCTGTGGATAGGTGTTAACTCTTTGTGTTGCCTTGTATCATATCACAAGTTGTTTTCATCCAAGGCACCACCGCCAGGTGAATGTCGGAAGCTTGGAGATTAATGGAGCTGTAAAGAAGTGGTAAGTAAAACAACTTTTTGTATGCATTGCATGTGATTGATGTAGTTATAAATAGTATATGATAAGCTGTCAAACAAGACCGGGGCTGCTTCTCAGGTCGACTATTTTCATTTCCTCGCTCCTCGGTCCTCGGTCTCACCGGAAGTTGATTTGCCTGCGCCATCTTGAGTACCGTCCCATGGCTCACCTGAGGACCGAGGATCGAGGAGCGATAATGGAGGAACCACCAGACCATCCTCCGATGAAATCCTCAGATACTCACCCCGCCCCCTTACTGTGTATCGCTCACTGATTGGACGAGGCAGTGCATGCACTGATCTGATGCTTCTTGACATGAGAGCAGTTTCCCAGCGGAGTGAAGAAA